CAATCAATTTTGCGCATTAAAACAACAAAATTTAGGAATTTCAATCAATTATGATTGTTGTAATAGTCGTCCGAGTGATACAGTAGCATCAGTAAAACCGGGAAAGTATAATAGGAAAAACGGAATAGCAAACGAAGAGAAGGAAAATACCGGATCCAGATCAATTAACATATTGTTTTAACACACACACACACACACACACACATATATATATATACACACACACATACACACATACACACATGCACTCATATGTACAAACACAAAACACCCACAGACACGTACTCGTCTTCCTACATAGTTGAAATCACAAATTTATCTTCCCAATGGTCACAGAAAAAGGGTTAAATGGTGACTTCAAAATGTTCTTCCAGTTAGTTACATTCCTTGAAATCAGTTTTGATTGAAGATATCTTTTCGTGTAATTTGTATGTATTCAATGTGTGTACCAAAAACCATATGGTAATATCCATCCATCCATCCCATCTTTTCTGCTTTTGCTCCCTCTGTTGAACGGAATTCAATAAGTGGTTTTGTTGTGCGACTGACTGAATAAGTGCGTTATATATTTTTTAAATCGTGTCTGCTGGCACAGCACATGCGAGAAATGTCTCATTTCATTTCCCAAATTTATTCAGAAATTTCAGATAAATCATTATCCAACATTTACACCTTTATAGGTAGTATTTATTTTTATAACGATGCAGTGTTTAATGTACTTCTGAATCATTACCTTTACAGCCCCTGAAACTGTCTCCTGGATAACCTGTAATGTTGCATGGACATGAATCAGCGTATAACGTTGCTTTTGTAGAGTTGATCATTGTGTAGCCTTAATCAACAAGCCTTAATCAACAATGCGAGAATATGTTGCCTTGTCCTTGTGAACGTTGCCTTTTTCGTTTTCGTTATGGTTAGTCATAGCACATATTGTACTGTGATACTATGGTACAACTTCAGGGGAGGGGGAATAGTTTGGTCGTTTTTTTTTTCCGCTCTGACCATATACACCCAAAGAGCAATCAGTCAGTCATCTTCTTTCGTCCTTCTCTGTTCTATCCACTTTTTACAATAAAGGAAAAAGGAAAACTTAGCTCCTCATCACTTCCTTCCATTCATCACACCATTCCGAACAAAAAAAAAGAAAAAAAAAAAAGAGAGCTATTTTAGAGGGGAGAAGCAATTGTTAATGCATTTTTTCAATGTTTTATGCAGGAACGGTGCAGCGCCACAGTAGCAGCGGCGGTAACAGTAGTAGTGATTGCGATCCGCGATGAGGTTCATTTTTTATTTCTTCTCCCTTTCCCTTTTATTTTTCATTGCGATCGTTGATCGTCAGCAACAGTAGCTAGCTACAAAGGATTCTTTTTAAGTGTTATTATAGTTTTTGCCGTTAAATTTATCGCTGTAACAGTCCTCAATGTGAGCCCGACTTTCGAGCCACAAATCCGTAAAAAAGGAAGTTGTAGTTGTCTGATTTGGGTCTACAATCATTAATCGTTCTACAATCATTAATCGTCTTTTTTTTTTGTTTCCTTATCGTGCCTGAAGTGAAAGCAGATCCTCTTCACTGGAGATGGTTTAATAACAGAGAGAACAAAAGTTGAAGTTGTGAAGGATCTTGGAAATGTGTACTTTTTCCAATTCAGGCTCACTGTTCTGCATTATGTTACCCTTTATTAGACGCTGTGAAAGATCATTCAAGTTTCTTTTTTTCTTCAAATTACCTTCCATAAAATTCGGACTTCTTTTGTACCGTGACAATTTCAACAGTCCCATGTGAGCAAGCTATTATTTTGGCGTTGATGATTTTGTTGGCTTCTTATCCTTGTAAAGGCTGTAAAAGAAATTACTAAATTTCATCTTTCTAGAATTCAGCTGGATTTCAAGTTTCTGTTTTAGTTTCAAGTTGTTAATTAACAACTGTGCTAGGTACACATGTCATATTTCACGGTTTTCCATTTCTCCTGTTGAAATGTGGTGATGAATGTAGAAAGAAAGAGTTTTCATAGATTTTTGATCAGATGAAGTCTGTCTAATTCGCCGTTAATGATTTTGACGGCTGAACTGCTTCAATTATCATTAAATTAAAATATGAAGTGAAATGAAATAGTCATCGTGAGTGCATTGAGTTGATTTGTTAAAGATAGCTGGTGTTCATCTTGTCTTTTATATTACTCTCACGAAGGACATTATGAATTTCAGGAATCGTCTCCGGAAATTGAAAATAACGAAGGTTTGAAAAGAATATCCAACATTAAATGGAACTGACCCTCTTTTTATGTATGTATCGTTTGTATTTCTTAAGGTAGTTTTGAAAAATTAGGAAATGACAACTATATGGCATACTCAATAACTGAGTACTTCCGTAATGTCCATAATAGAGGATTCATAGAAAAGGCGAAATCGCCGGGATACTTGCTATTTGTCCTGAGTATTAAACATGACTGTTTGCCCTAAAAATATCGATCTCCTACTACTTTTTCCATCACGGCAGGTGCTTCCTTGCATTCTTCTATGAAATGAATTTCAATGATGTTTAACATTTGTAGATTGTGATGAGTAGATGAGGCAGCTGTAGTATGAATTACCAGACAACATTCGCCTTGATTTGCAAGTCGTTTTAGCAGATGAAGTGACTTCCTTACAGAGGTTTTTTGAAATAAAGAGACAGTATGATCATTCATATGTCGTCAGCCGCTATGCCACCATCATCCTTATCATTATCATCGTTGTTGATCACCATTAATCACAATGTTATCATTATCTTCATCATTATAAAATCATTAATCTAAAAATAATTCCAGTGGACACATTGGTTGTTTATTACCACTTTGTATTTATTACTAGGATTCTCAGTTTTACCGAATTTTTTTTGATTGACATTTGAATTGAATTGGCACCAGTCACCGAGAAAGAAATGGAATAATGAACACCTTTTTATGTACATATGTTGGTGGATTCGGCAGTTATCTCTTCCCCAATTTTAATTTTTGCTTTTATTTCTTACCAACATTTTTTTGGACAGAATGATTTCCTGCATCTTACTGTTGGTTTTTTTTTTTTAATTTTTAAATGAGCCATATATTTTGTTTGGGGAATTATTCAGATTTACTCCGGTTATTTACCTCTTCCACACAAAATATCATCAACAAACATCAGAATTGTTCGTTCTTTATACCATAGTTAGTTACTTATTCGTTTACTTTAACTGTCTATTTCATCTTTCACCAAGAATTTAAGTTGAAAAAAAAGAACATCGATAGTATGAATTTCCTGTTTGGAAGTTTGTATGAATCCAACTGCAATGTCGATAAGAGACCATGTACCGAAGACCATGTACCGACATGTCGTCAGACATCCAATTTTGCTGGCCACGTGGATTCGCCGCATGTCGTCGCATATCGAGCAGGTATTTTGACAGATGGAAATGAGCTGCAGTTTTTAATTCACTTTATCAGTGGGTCAAGAATCAATTCTTTCAGCATTGAAATGAGATGGGATGGTACGGTATGTTATAGTATGGTGTGGTACTTTCCCTATGTATCAACTTTGTCACTGTAAATGAGGCATACAAAGTTTGTTGTATTCTTGTCTCTTTCAATTATAGGTGTCCTTTTTTTCATCGCAAAAAGGCGAAATGAAGGTAGTGTATTTTATAGTACCTTCATTGAATGTCACCATGAAACGCTGGCTTCTCCAAGAAGATTAATTTAGAAAGATTTGCAAATTTGCTGATACACTATCTTTTGGCATCATTGCAAAGGGAGTAATGCCAAAAAAAAACTTCTACCACTATTTGATTAAATTCTAAATTGTAGATGAACAAATTCGATTATTAATCGGGTTGACTGAGGTCGGGAAAGTATTTGTTTTTTGATTGAAACTGACTATTGATATATTACTTGACTTTAAAAAAGGAACATAGAAAAAAATTATTGAATAAATCAGATATGTGCGTAGTGTATCTGCATTCAGATTTCATCCTTTATCTTCAGACATTGTATCTAAGCTTAATTTCCCTTGCATTTTCATTTCGGGCTTATGGTCTTACGGGTTTGCTTATGCAGCAATTCACTTATTTTCATTTATTTTCACTCTTATTTTCTTTTACCCTTGTCGCGTCATCATTTACTCAGTGGATTTGATATTCAACTTGTTTGAATTTCAGAAATGTCCACTGTTTTGTTTGAATTGATTATCTGGAATTCCTATTAACGAATTGGATTAATGAATAGTGGTGGTTTAGCAGCAGCTTTGCCTTCAACATCCGTTGTTGAAGAATCAGCAGTTATGTAAGTATTCATTCTAATAGTGCGCTTTGTTAGCTAAATAAATACCGAAATGTCATGTAGATCAGGAAATCAATTCCTTTAGGATGCATTTTTAGATTCTAATTTAAATTTAAACTAAGCTTTATTAGACGTGAAGATCGATGATTGAGTCAATGAAAATATTATTGGTTAAGGGCAATTTAAAATTTCATGATATTTCCAATCTTACTCGATTGTTTCATTCCAGACCAAACGACATGACATACGCTGATGAGAGGTTCAGTGCACGGTGGAAAGAGCGACGTGCCCGATTTTTGGGTTGCATTGAAAATACCAAATTAATAGCAGAACGGACAAAGCAGAGACAGGAAAATGCTCGAATAGAACGACTAAAGAAAGAAAGGGCCGAAATGGAGAAGTATCGTCGAAGGTTGTCTAATTTTTTTAAATCGTCTCATTGTATACTGTTTTTCTGAGAGTATTTCCTTCAGAAGAATACTTTCTTCAAGCAAAAAGAAGGTTATGGAGTTCTTCGACATGACTTTTTTACTTGATCTTTTCATCTCACGTTAGTATTTTGCCAGTAGAAATCCGATATCCTACCATGTGAGTCAGTGTGAAGTTCATTGACTGGATTGTAATATAAAAATTATACGTTATTCTTGATGAGTAAATTCACACGTCTTCGGAGTTCCGAATTCCATAACTTACGATCGTTTTTATGAAGATATTTTCAATATTATACTTGTTTTTTTTTTTTCGCTTCCCTTTTTTTGTTAATATTTAGGTTTGCAAAGACACAACTTCTATTGATTTTATCGAAAGAAATTGGTGTTTTCTTAATTTTTTTAGAACTGATATGTAGTCAGAATTGCTATGATTTATAATTTCAATTTCAAGCTGTAATTACAATCCTTAAACATCTTATATTGAAATGCTGAAATATTATTGCTTTATTAATTAAAAAAATGTTTGTTAATTTCCAAAAATCCTCAATTTCGATGAATTTCAGATATTTGGAAGCAGCGATGAAACAGTACGCGGAACAACAGGCAAAGCCTCGGGAAGTGCCATCATCGATGATCCAGTCTCATGGCCATCATTATCCACAGCTTCTTTCCTCATCGCAAAGTTATCCTGGATGTATGCAAGTATTACAGACCGCATCTCCTTTCACACCAAGTTATCCGGCTATATCAGCTTGTAAGCCAAATGTAAGTTCCCGAATTTCAAATGATAACACTTTCAGCATGGAATAAAATAAAATAGAATAAAGTTCAAGAAAAACTGAACATTTTACAATTGAGAAAATTAAATATGTTTGCGATATCTTTTAGCTGTTTTTAGATTCGAAAACGACCATTTGAGGGTAGTGCTGGATGGACGCAGTACGCCCACATGGCCATCATGAGCGATCGATGTAATATTTATCACGGAAAAGAAACAGAAATGTTTCAGAATAATATATCTCCGATGCAAACCACTAATTCATTCAAGTATTCGACTGTGATGTCGAAACAAGTGCCTTACTGTCCAGCAAGCAGTTATAAAGATGGAACGCATGTAAGAGATCTAAATTTGTTGTTCAAAATAATTTCTATCAAATTAACTCTGAATTGGTTCTGCTTCCTTGTTGTTTTGAATATTAGTTTTGAAACTTTAACTTTAAATACTGGCTATAATGTTGTTAATTGGAACAATATACCCTTTGTAGTCTGACAAATTGATGGCTAAAGAAATACACCAGATGAACACTATTGTCCCCGGATTAGAAAGAGCTGAACAGTACGATCAGACAAGATTGGGCAGTTCAATGTTGCCAACAACATCACAAGCACATGAAGCCACAACTTCCACCATCCCTGAAGAAATGAGCAATTTATCAGCAATGCCGGAGTTAGCTGAGTCGCACGTGAAAGATTTGATGGATCAAATTGGACCGGTATTCGTATTTGATATGTTTAACTTAGATAATATTAGGCATTATTTTTGCAAGAGATTTATTGGTAAAGTTTGAGCTAAAATGACACTTTAGTAATTGACGAACACTGACAGTAAATAATTTCACATCGAATTTTGAATCTTGATTTCGCGTCGAATTTTGAATTTTATTTTGAAAGTTTAAGGAATCCAAAGTTACAAATGCAGTCAAATAATGTGGAATAGCTGAAAGCTCTGACGGAACAATTTTGTGATCTAAATTAAGTCTTCCTTTCAAAAGAAACAGTCGTTGCAGGTTCCCAGTCATTCTTCCATGTAGGTGGAAGGCAGAAGATTTTGGAATTGTTCTTGAGATAACACGAAACACTTTTTTGGTTACGCTGTTTATTATGTTGATCTTCTTATTCATTTTTGAATTACGGGAATTTACAGTTCAGTTGTTCTTTGCAGAATAATTCACTGGATGATCTCGGAGGAAACTGCCTGGAAGGAGTATTAGTTAATCGTTGCGATGAACAGCCATCTATATTAGCTGCGGAAACCGAAAAGCTTAAAGTGCAGTCCACAAGCAGTTCGGTATATTTTTTCTTCGGAATAACAACAAATGATGAATAATCAGTGAAGCCACATCATCACTCAAATTTCAGAGCTTTTTTTATGTAGCTGAAACAATAAAGTATCTTCATGATGGGTGTTGTAATTGATGCTAAGGTTAACGAATAAGTGCAGTTAAAAATCTAGCAAACTGAACGAGATTTTATTTAACATGGAGCAGAATATTATAGACATATTGGTAAAAAAAAAATTATGTTCAGATAGCTTCACCGATGTCAGCTGTCTGTGGCACGCCCAATAGTGCCTTATCTCCAACGCATCTTTCTGCATCCGCTCGATGTTCTACAAATTCGTTTTATGATTCACAAAGTACTGCTGTAACACCGCAACAGAATGCTCTTACACCACCTTGTAAGTGATATTGATTATGTACGGTATGCTTGCTGGTAACCAGTGATATTTCGTTGGGTTTTCACCAGTTCATTACTTAAATTTTGCTTAATTTCCACGAGTTTTGCTTAGTACAACTGTCTCGGAAACGGCATCTATCCCATCATAGCCTTATGCACGGACGGAAGTCCTACTTTCTCAATCAGACGAGCAATTTCAATGTTTTCAAACATAGCAGCGGTTGTTATTTGGATGTCTAGTACTTATATAATACCAAGTAGAAATTATCTCCCTAAATATGTGGAATAGGCAAAATGACTGGAAGTGAGACGAGAAGGTTTCAACTTCATGTTTTGTAAAAACACGGTTTTTATGATCGTTAAGTGATTCAATAATCACATCATTTCCAGGTGATCAGCAGCCACAACGAATCCCAGCAACATCAGCATTAGAAGTATCAGCACCCCCAACAATGGTAGTACAAGACAATTCTTTGTTGTGTACGAGGAATGCTAGCAGCAGTGGCAGTACAAGTAGTATCGGTAGTGCGAATGCTATGTCCTTAACATCATTAATTGGGAATAGTAATAGTAGGAGCAGTAGCGTTAATGGTAGTATATGCAACAGTGCAGCTGCAATTGCAGCGTCAGCAACAGTGCCCAATCAGCTACATCAGCCGCAGCAACAGCAGCATTATCATCAATTTGCGCATTTTCAACAACATCATCATTCTTGTCATCAACAACAGCAGCTACTAAATTTATTTAACAATGGATGCCATGTGTCCGCAAACAATGCCCAGCTTTCACATACGGTACTTTGTTTTAGGAAAAGTTTTTGTATCTTATTATTTTAAATTTCAGCTAATCCATTTCAGATGCTTAAGTAGTGGAGTTAAAAATAGTAGTATTTATTCCTCAAAACGAAGTTAATAAGCTTGGAAAAGTTCGGAAGTTTTCGTTGTCCTTCTCTGCAGGATAATACAAGGATATACAATGGGATTGAGTATCCAAGGTTCGGTCATTGCTATAAACAGTATAGCAATCCAAACAAATCATCCATTTTTCCACGCTTTCCATCTCAAACATTCGTGGAGTGCTCTACGCCACAACAGTATGATGTTCATTCGATGAAATATCCGAACAATGGGATGTCTTATTATGCGCAGCAACCAGAAGTGAATATGCAGCAACAAGCATATCAGTGTAAGTTTTCCAGGCGATATTTATCGTATTACTCGGATAAATTGTACTTACTCCTGTCATACCTGGAATATTCATTATCTTAGTGGTCCAAACTATAACAAAATGTTACATTTTTCTAGAAAGTTAATTTATATTCTGATTAGAAGAAATGTACGATGCGGACCACGTCTGCATGTTCCAGATGTTCTTCAATTTTATACTTTTCCTCAATTTATTTCATTCCCCTAGTCAAAACTTTCTCATTTCAGTTCAAGTTCCCCTATTCCAACCGGCATACCATCATCACTACCATGGTAGTGATCCAGTGACAGCTACACAGAATCCTGTTTATCCAATGAACCATTTTTGAAATTCCGCTGATGGACTCAGTAGAGAAAAAGCTCAAAAAAAAAAGCGGTCAAAAAATGAGATGCTAATTTATTAGTATATATATATATATA